TTGAATATTATCATTATCATTATTATTATAATGATAATTATAATTTTTATCATTATTGATACGAGGCTCTTGCACTAAGGTCAGCACTCTCAGGTTGGTTCAGTCATGTGACCACGGTGTGACTGTCACAGCTGTGAAGAGTTTCACAGGAAGTCTGTTTTAGATTCGTGCGATCATCAGAATGATCAGCTGACCTGCAGGAACCGTGATCATAGCTCAGGTACGCTGCTGTTTGTGCTGGAGCAGCAGGATAAGGACATTTTTCTCAGCATCAGTCGGACCAAACTGTCACTCTGTCCCACCCCAGCACAGGTGTGAACACTGGCCTGTTAGCGGCTGTCAGCTGATGATCGGAGGCTGTTGTGTTTGCAGGTTAATGTCAGTGTTGCTGTGTGTGAAGCTACAGAGTCCTCACAGGTGTGCTGCTGTTTCCTGTCAGCTCTGACAGGAAATCAGAGTGTGTGGAGGAAATGTAATCACTAACCTTCATCTAGTAATCTGATTACTGTGAGGTGCTGCTGTCTGTGCGTCACACTTATATCTTCTGCTTCATTCGTCTTTCATAGAGTCAATATTTCAGTTATTTATAAAGAGAAATCATGAGTAAGCGGTTTGCACTGTGAGCAGATCTCATCCATACAGCTGTTTGTCATGTGACTGCCTCCTCGTGCTGAGCCATGCTCACAGCAAACACACAGTCAATGCAGGTTTGCAAAAGTCAGAGTAGAAGAAGAGGCCAGAGCACGTGCACCTCTGTGATACTCTGTTCATCCCTGCAGCCGATGACTCCGACAGCCGAGGCCCGGGTTCAGGCAGACCGCTGCTGGAGCCCGTCCAGCTGATGTTCTGACGTCTGCAAGAACGTCCGTCGGAGCGCCGAAGGCTCCCTGAAGCCACATTTACCAAAACAAGTGTATTTACCACACGTCCCAACATGCAGACTAAGAGGAGGCTCACGTTTGCTGCATTTTACAGTTTAAACTTGGAGTTTTTACTCAAACATGTCAAATCAGGTTTGTGCAGCAGTGAGAATAAAAAAGTGAATCAAACTTTCAAAGCTGCTGCAGTTTCATGTAAACTGGATTCTTTGAAAGAGCTCAGAAAGTAAAGCCTGGAAACCTCAGAGCAGCAGTTTGATTCAGAGCCGCTGGAAGGAAATGATTCATGTATGAAAGATGAGAAGATTTTCATGTAGAGAAAAATCCACTCGGTGTTTGACAGCAAGCTCCGAAAAGTCAAGAAACAGGAATCTGTTTTTATACATCAGCAACACATCAGCTGCATGACTCTGTGTCATTCTCCCACAATCCTGAAACCTCTTCATTATAGTGAGCGACAGCCATATTTGTCAGACATATTTACAGCTTCTGTTTAAAAGGTGTTTCAGTCGTAATGTGAAGGATCAGAAAATAAAAGCATTTTGTGTTGTTTCTTATAATAAACTCAACTTAATGTGTGAATCATGAGGTGATGAGTGTTTTTATCGATGTTGGAGCGACGAGCGTCAGGTGCTGCTGATGGATCCGTTCATTTGTCTTCAGTCTTTTTCTTCCCGCATCCAAACAACGACAGTTTTTATAATTATTTCGTTTTAAGCAGTTTTAAAGTCCTCCAGTGACCAAAGTGAGTGATTAAACCACCGTACAGCATGAAGGTAGAAGCAGTTACAGCAACACTGTTCATTTCAAAATAAAACGATGACGATCACGTTTGGATTACTTCCTGTAGATAATTTAACACTGAAGAAGATAATTCTGATAGTTTTGGTGCAGATGAACATCTGTCCAGCTTTAATTCCTGAGAAACTCCGCCTCTTTTTATACCCAGTTGTTCAGAGACAGCCCAGTAGGTAGAGTAGTTGCCCCATGATCGGAGGGTCGGTGGTTCAACTCCACTGAAGGGCCCTGAGGTTGAGCAAGGCACCGTCCCTACACGCTGCTCCCCGGGTGTTGCATTGGTGGCTGCCCTGCTTCACTGGGTGAATGGGTCAAATGCAGGGGAGTCGTTTCCCTACAGGGACTAACACATACACATTGTTCAGTCATGTGACTGACCTGCTGCCAGAGAACCTGATTATCGACAAGATGTCCCGCTGAGCAGTTTTGACAAATAGATTGGTGTCAGAGTTTTTCCATCTCAGTCGTGGAACCCGGCAGAGGTGTTCTTCATCCCCGCTCTTCTTCACGATATTTCTGGAACCACTGATCTTAGCTAATCGAGCTAACGTGGCTATCAGAGGTGTTCACGCAGGCGGCAGGGAGCAAGTTATTTCTATATGCTGACAGCATCTTAGCAGCATTAATGATAACATTTAATTTCTACCGGCGCTGCTCACATGCGTCGAGTCATTTTCAAGGTTGTCAGGTTATAAGATAAATTGGTAGAAATCAGAGGGCACGCCACTATCAGCATCATGTCACTCTAGATCCATTACTCCATTCACTTTGAAGTATTTACCTTCAGGTATGAAGTCTTTAGGAATAATATTAAACCCAAACTGGAGGATATTATGCTTCCAAAGATGGGACCTCTCCTCCTAAAGATACAAACAAATCTGGATAAATGGGCTAATTTAAATCTTACATTATGGGGTAAAATTCATGTGATTAACATGATGGTGGCCCCGCAGTTCAATTATGTTTCCATGATCTTACCTGTAAGAATTCCTTTACACATATTTAGTCAATTTTGAGAAGCTAATTAAAGATGTTTTGTGGAATAACAAGAAGCCAAGAGTGAATTTAAAGAACATCTGGGCCTCTAAAGACATTGGAGTAATGGCCCTCCCAAATGTGAAGTTGTATAATTTAGCTTTTGAAATGTCAAGACTGGCCAAGCACTGGACAGGATCAGACTCTGAGCTGAGCTGGATGAAGATCGAACAGGAACTAGTGAGCCCTTTTACACCCTTGGATGTTCTCTCACAGGGCTCAGCTGTTAATGGACAAGACTTTCATGATAACCCCGTGCTCGGGTATTCTAAGGCTGTCTGGGTGGAGGTGCACAAGATGTGGAGCATCTCATTTAAGACAACCTTACACCTCGCTATGGAACAACACTGCTGTACAGAAACAGTGTGCTGGGAGGAATGGCTTGTTAAAGGCAAACACGGGATAAGTGATCTTTACTCAGGGGGAGTGTTTATGTCATTGGCTGAAATAACCCAAAATAACTGATAAGAGAAAATTATTTTTGGAAATATTTACAAATGAGGGATTGTATTACCAAAGGAAAATTTACTCACAGCACAAATACAGTGGTGGAGTTTTTAGAATTGTGTGGTTCAGCACACAGAGCAGCTGTTCTCTATAAACTGTTTAACAACCTAAAAAAAGAGATATGTGAAAACTTGAGGATGGCACAGAGATCTGAGTTGTGTCATTTGAAAAGAAGATTAGTGTAGAATTTTGTCATTCCCCAATAAATATAAAAGAGAGGCCAGGGGTAAAAAACAAAATGCATGTTAGCTTGAAAAGTTAACAAATTGACAACAGCTTAAAGAAAACAAATATCAACTGTAATAAAGAAGTAATACATATAATACTAACCTTGTTTTGCACACACATGATCAGGGTAGGATCAAATAATAGGCGTCCACTATTAGGTAGGGTGTTTTGTCAGAACACTCTGTGACCGGGTCATTAGCTCCTCAATCTTATTAGGGAACGATCTCACATTTCCAATGATTACAGAAGGGAGAGATGGTCTGTAACATCTCCTTCTCAGGTGACATCACCCCCGTCTCTTCCTCCTCAGCTCACTGGGGATGTCGGGTCTGTCTGCCAGTAGCGCAGCTGCAGGGAGCAGTGCTAACAGCTGATCCCAAACGTAAACAAAGGAGCACTGGTTCTCTAAACATGGGTGAAAAAAGTAGAGAAAAAAACAGAGAAAAATCAAAAGAATTCAATTCAATTCAATTCAATTTTATTTATATAGCGCCAAATCACAACATAAGTCGCCTCAAGGCGCTTCATAGATACAGAGAAAAAAAC